GAAGACATGAACAGACACTTCTCCAAAGAGGACATCCAGATGGCCAACAGACACAAAAATGATGCTTAGCGTCACTCATCATCAAGAAAATACAAATTAAAACCACACTGAGATACCTTTTCACACAAGTCAGAGTGGCTAAAATGAACACATCAGGAGACTGTTCATGCTGGTGAGGATGTGGAGAAACAAGCACCCTCTTTCATTGTTGGTGGGATTGTAAACTGCTGCAGCCCCTCTGGAAAACAGTGTGGAGGTTCCTAAAAAATTAACAGTAGAACTCCTCTATACCCCAGCAATAGCACTGCTAGAAATTTACCCAAGGGATATGGGAATGCTGTTGCATAGGGCACATGTACTCCGATGTTCATAGCAGAACTTTCAACAATAACCAAATCATGGAAAGAGCCTAATTGTCCATCATCTGACTAATGAATCAAGAAGATATGGTTTATTTATATAATGGAATACTACATGGCAGTGAGAAAGAATGAAATCTGGCCATTTGTAGCAACTTGGATGGAACTCGTGGATGTTATGCTAAGTGAAATAAGTCAGGTAGAGAAGGATAGGTACCACATGTTTTCATTCATATGTGGAACAGGAGAAACCTAACCATGGGGGAGGGGAAGGGGAAAATAGTTTAGGAGAGGCAGGGAGGCAAACCATAAGAGTCTTAAATACTGAGAACAAACTTCAGGTTTATGGGGATGGGGGAGAGGGCACAAAGTTTAATGGGCATGAAGGAGCACACTTGGGATCAGCACTGGGTGTTATATGGAAACCAACTTGACAATAAAGAATATAAGAAAAAAAAAGAAACCATGTATTCACTTTAAGAAAACTTTTGTCAATTTTGTGAGATAATGTATAAAGACTCATTTTCAGAGTTGTATAAAATAATCATAGTTAGTAATTCCAAGAACTTAGGCTTTCTAATTTTTTCAAATATGTTTTACTTTGAAATAAAAGGATAAGTGATATATAAGACAAATCATGATAAAAAGAAGGATGGCATTTAAAGCAAAAGATATCTTAACTGGACTTGTTAAAATATCCACTTATAATTTAAAAGTGAAAAAATACGTAATTTCTAAGAGCTCTTTTGTATATACATAAGAAAAAGTGTTGAACTTAAGTCCCCACTTGTAAATTGTTAGTAATTAAGTCAAAGGTTAAGAAGAAAACAGTCAATATCCAAGCTCAAGGAGCGGTAACACTAAAATATTCTTTGTTAAATATTCATTAAACAACGAGGCATTCAACAAAAGCAGTGGATCAACTCCAATATTTTTTCTTGGATAAAGCAAAGAACCATCAGTTTTAAGCCTGAGTTCAAAAGCATGTATCCTAAAGCCAAGTGTTTATAGCTATCAAATAGTAATATAATTGAAATCTTGGGCATGAAAAAACCTAAAATAAACAACAAATACAGCCAAATATACACATGATGTTTACATAATATTATTCCAAACAAAGCTATTATAAAATTGGAAAATGTGGGAAAAAGAAAAACTAGGAAGAAGAGGATGGCTAAGATATTCCAGCTTCCTTGAAGGAGTATTGAATTGAGTGGGCACTCAAATAAATATATTTGATGACATTACATTAACTTTCCTTTCGTCAATAGTTTCTTAAGTCCCCTGGATACTTCTTTGTTGTGGAGGCTGTATATGAGAGGGTTCAGCATGGGGGTGAGGATGGTGTAGAAGGCAGATACTATCTTGTCCTGTTCTGGTGTGTGGTTAGAGGCTGGTCTCATGTACATGAACATAACAGCACCATAGTAGAGTCCAACCACAGATAAGTGGGAAGAGCAGGTGGTGAAGGCTTTGTGGCGACTTTCTTTGGAGTTCATGAGGATGACAGATCGAAGGACATGTGAATGGAAAATGATGATCACAGAGACTGGTAATATTAGCATCACGACACAGCAGATGAAAAGTAGTCTTTCAAAAGCAGAGGTTTCTGTGCAAGATAGAGGGAAAAGAGCAGCGACATCACAGAAAAAGTGATGAATTTCCAGAGAACTACAGAAAGAGAATGATAAAGGGGCTACAAGCACAATAATGCCATCAAGAGATCCCAAGATCCAGGAGGCAACAGTCATGAGGACACAGAGTTTCTGATTCATAAGAATGGTGTATCGAAGGGGGTGGCATATAGCCACATAGCGGTCATAGGCCATGACAGCCAACAGGAAACATTCAACTCCAACTAGAGACATATAGAAGAATATCTGGGCTCCACAACCTGCCAGAGAGATGGACTTCCTTCCAGACAAGTAATTGAAGACCATCCTGGGTACAGTGGTGCAAATGAGCATGAGGTCCATGAGGGATAGTTGGCTGAGGAGGAAGTACATAGGTGTGTGCAGCTGGCTGTCTAGATAAATGAGGAGAACCATGACAGTGTTTCCAATCAAGGCCACTGTGAAGATTCCCAAAACCAGAGTAAAGAGGAAGGTGTGGGTGTAGCTGTGATCAAAGATTCCTAGCAAGATGAAGTCAGAGCTAAAATTCTGGTTTCTTCACAACATCCTGGATAATATGTCTTACCTAGAAGTTCTAGAAAAATCATAACCTTATATATTAATTTAGTTTTCAAATGCACACGATGACAATATACTCCATAGAGCACTGTATGTATAAGACCTTCTCACCAACCTTTAGTGATCTCCAGTTTAGTCACAAGGAGTTCTATGCCAGCCCATTTCTTTCCAGTTATTTCCTTCCAAACTTCACAGGCAACAAAGTTTAAAAGTATTTTCTTTATTTCCCATATAAGAAATCTGAGGCTTATAAGAATCAATCAATTTACATGCAGATAGAAACAGTCAGTAAAGAACCTAGAAAGATAATAATTACACGTATCTATTCCTAAATTTTATGCCAGTCACTGATCACAGGAAATTCTTCATTAACCTTTTTCTCTTAAAATGTCTCAGGTGGGTGCTTTCCTATAAAAACACTGAATTCTGGCAAACTATAAGAGACTCTGAGGAAGTATTTTAAGCCATAACATAAAGATGTAGAGTGACATGGAATGGTTTTAGGATTTAGGACTGAATGAATTAGGATTGAGAAAATCTCATGTTTACTGAAGTATGATGGCTTAGGTGGATTAATCTGCAAAAATGATGACTAGGTAGAGCATATATGAAGCATTCAGAGGAGCCAGGTTAAAGTTCAGAGGGTGACAGTAGAGAAGTAAAGGACTAGTTAGAAATCTAATTTATCCATCAGTTCTTTGTTAAAGCTTATTGATTATGATCTCTAGACCATATTTATCTTGACCTACTTCTAAAGTATCATACTATAAGGATATTTTCCTAAAGTCCCAAATAATTGTACAGCAAACAAAATTCAATCCTAAGCTTGCTCCACTCCCCACCGTGCGACGTATGTCACTGTTACCAAAATTATTCTTGACTTCCAGATTCCAAATTTGAAATAATAAATTTTTCCTTATATTCTCATGTTCTCATTATTTCATTTAATTAAAAAATCTAAGGGTGCCTGGGTGACTCGGTTTAAGTGACTAAATCTTGATTTTGGCTCAGGTCATGTCTCACAACCCCTAAGTTCCAGCCCGATGTCAGGCTAAGCACTGAGCCTGCTTGGGAATCTTTCTCTCCCTCTCTCACTGACCCTCCCCTACTTATGCTCGCTCATGCTTTCTTTCTCTCTCCAAGTAAATAAATAAACATTTAAAAGATCTAAATTTTGTCTAACATATAATGTGTTTTGATACTGAATATCTACCTGACTAAAGAGTATTTATCATTGTGTTTGTCTATCCTTAAAATCTATCTTTCAACCCACTCAGAAATATTCTAAGCAAATAGCAGATTTAAATATGTGGAATTCAATTAAATTGTTAAGAAATCCAATTATGCATTTTTACTTTAGACACTTCAATGACTCATGACAAGTGGTGATAGATCAAGCTGCTTCTATTTAATATCAGCAAGTTATATGTATTATTATATACTCAAATCAAATAAATATACTTCCAAGAACAGAGCTGATTCCTGAGAACTTACATATTAATAGCAGGCAGTCTATACCTGTCACAATGTTCTCTTTGGGGAAATTTAGTATTAAATTATTTTGCTGCCAAAGTTTTCTCCAGGAAACATTCTCATTATGTATTGATATTCTTAATGAATTTTTGTCAATTATGGTTCATGGTAGAACTCTTTCAAGGAGGCAAATGCAATACAGAACTTTACTTGTTTTAATGACACACAAAAATGGCATGGTATTTTTTTTCACAGAATTATAATATTATGCTAATACACCAAGAGGAAATTTTCATTCCCATTTCTAACAATTGGGCATGGAAGAATGTTGTAAAGAAGGAGATATGCCTAAAATTGAAACCAATGGACAACCAATTTTTAGGTCACCAACATATTTATTTGTATGACTTCTATGTAATTGGTAATTTAACTTATTTTAATGATGAATATGTGTTGAGGGAACCCAAATTCTCTGTAGCAAGAGTATTTAAAACTGAAATAAATAGCAAATACAGTTTTACTCCCAGGGTAGTCAATATAATGAACTGCCAGCTTCTTGTTATTATTTTTAACATGAGACTGTTATAATTTTATATGAAAATTGAAAAATCTTACATTATACTTTAAGCATGTTGGTCCTTCTATATGTTTTCATGTCAATTGTCAATGGATAATAGATAAGACCTTCGCTGAATTTTTAAAAAGTATATTTTTAAGAAAAGTGACTTAATAAGAGGAAAATTAAGTGTATATGAGATTGATGGAGGTATATAAAGAAAACGCATGCTAAAAATAGAGTTGAAAATAAAAAGGCGAATTTTATTTATTTTATTTATTTATTTATTTATTTTTACAAATAGTTTGTTGTCAAATTAGTTTCCACATAACACCCAGTGTGCATCCCCGCAAGTGCCCTCCTCCATGCCCATCCCTCCCTCCCCCCCACATCCATCAGTCCTCAGTTTTTGTCAGCATTCAAGAGTCTCTCATGGTTTGCCTCTCTCCCTTTCCCCCACCATTTCCCCC